GTATCTGTGTGAAATGCATACCAGATTAACTTCCATCCAAGGACAGTTGAGCCCAAACTCTGCTCTTTAAAGAGAGGGCAAAGAATCCTTTTAAAATACTGTAAGGAACTGCTACTTTTTAGCTTATTGTCCAGGATTTTGGACACAGAATATAATAACTGTTACCAATGGACCATTACAGGTTAAAATTTCCATGAACAGGTAGATGACAGGTTGCATTTTTGAACTATTCTTACAGAATAAGCAGAGTATCTCTGGTAGGGACATATGGTAACTCTAGGAGGACTGGTTTTTATTTTTGTGATGGCAAGACTTGTGCAGAAAATCCAGAGCAGAATGAGTGATTCATTATATTTTTAATTCCTTTTAGGAGTGAAATCAGAACTACACTGCAGAATCTGGGTTTCTGTTAAATCACACATTCTGTATATCACACTTTCTGTATATGTGTGTGTGCGAGAGAGAGAGAGAGAGAGAGAGGGCAAGCTCTAGGATGCTTGGTCAGAATCTAACCTAAAGCAGTAGTTTGGGCTCTTTCATATTGCTGTATAGTTATCAGTGGATGTGTATTTAAGGCAACTTCAGAGTTTACAATAATTATTTAAGAAAGAGAAATAACACAGATTAATACAAGATTAATACACTATGCAGGGTGTGAAAAATGGAAGGTTGTGTCAGACTGTGAGCAGCATCTCTGGTCAGCAGAACCGTGATCCAGTGACCATCAGTCTTGAAGTAAACAATCTCTCAGAAGTTATTTCCATATCCTTCCTCTCTGCCTTCACATACATGTGCCACAACCTGACCACAGTATAAGGAATTGATAACTTTCAAACTTTATAGTCAGTCTTCCTTAATAGGAAATATTCCAGCTGTGAGAGAGTACAAGCTTTCTATCTGCTGAAACATCTCTGCTGAGAGGCTTCTTGTTTCTTAGCTTGTTTTCAGTATGCTTAAAGTCTTCATTGTGAAAGTTATCACATGGATATTTCTTGCAGGAAGCATTCATATCAAGTTCTTTTTGTAGTGTAAAGCAGGGGATTTCTGCATGCAGGGCTTGAAACATTAGTTGCATTCAGTCAGGAAAAGTTACCTACATTTCTTTTCACTTAAGTCATTCCCTTCCTCTTTAATGCCTCCACATCCACTTCAGGGACAGGTAGCTTAATTTCTATCATCTGTAGCTTTACAGAGTATTAGCTTTGCTACACATGCCAATGATTGAGCTATACTAGATGTGCTTGAAAAAGCTTACAACCTACAGTGCTCATTCAGGAAACTCGGAGTGAAGTAAATCCATATGTGTGTTAGAAAGCCAGTGTTCAGATAAGGCTCATGTTTTCTGGTTCTTGGTGCTATCATGCACAATCCTTCTTTGAAGAGCTGCAGCAGTGATAGGATTTTTGATAACGAAATGTGTCATATGCTCAGAGTTTAACACTGACATTTTGATGCTTTAAAAAATGTTCTTTTTCATTTGGTTAGACATTCAAAACATTTTCCTACTCTGACGATTTTTAAAGGACTCTTAATTGAAAATAATATATATAGTTAAGCAGGAAAAAAAGACTAAGTTTCTGTGTTAGAATTAAGCTAAAAGAGCTGTATTTCCTGTAAATTTTATTTTGGATAAAAAAAAAAAAATCCTAATGAAGATAGATTTTTTACTGAATTCTTCAGCTGCCCCGAACAACTCGCAGAACAAAAAAAACATCTTATAAAATTCCATCTGAGTTTTTCATAGACTGTGATACAGACAGTATCACATTTGTCACAAATTCATGCATGCTCAGCATCTAGATAGACTGTCAGATAAATGTGACATATACATACACTAGAACCAGAAACCACAGTGTCTAATCCTATTCCCTTTACTTGTATAAAATCCAACCTTTTCATCTCACAGGAATAAAGAAAAGAATATCTAGTAAGATTTTACATAGTTGCATTTCATATACAGCTTGACAACTGGGCCTGCTAGTAGCTGTAATTTTAATGGTTTTGCCATTTATATCACTGCATTTCAACCGCTATTTACAAAGACTAAAAGAAAATCTCTGTTTAAACACCTGAAACATTTAAGGCAATACATAGAACTAGTAAGAGATATAAAACAGAGTGAGATGGCATTTTCCAGTCATTACAGCTAAAGTGTAATGATGGTTGTGTGATCAAAGTTTTTCTAGGTTGTTCTTCATAAGACGTTCCTCAGAAATTCAGTGTTAATTTTGCATTAATCTGAAATAGAATTTGATATTTAAGTATAAAATACTGTGCCCTTTCAGGGTAATTATTCATTTGTTTATGTTCGTTTTCTCATATTATAATAACTGTGCATTAATATATGCAGCTTCATTTGGCTACCCCGGCTTTGAGAGTTTACCATTCGTTACATGTATCATGCCCAAGAGATCAAGCAAAATATCCTGAATGTCCTGTGTACATTTAGGTGATGATTTTTAAAAATTCCTCAGGAAATGCTTTTTTGTTTCCCATTGCCCATTTTTACATCCAGTCTAGGTAAAATTAGGTAGCAGTCATTAAAGTGGTCAGAGGGAAATTTTTCAGTGGAAGATATTTGGTCTTATTGTCCCAGTTCAGTCTCCTCACACTCAGTTGAAAGCAGAAAATGATAAATGTCGTATCCTGGCCAATACTCAGCGTTTGGTGGTTGGAGAGACTGCCGTCTCATGTGTCAGAGCAGACAACTGCCTTGAAGGGTGGGTACTCTCAAGCTATGGTTATAATTTTAACTTAATCGGCCTTCCTGGAAATGAATCATAGTCCCTTTGAGGATGCAGGCTCCTGCTCGTGCCCTGGTGTACTGAGCAGCTGCCATTGAATCATTTTCATCAGCCACTCCTTCATGTTAACCTTAATTTGCTAGCTCTAAAAATGATAAGAAAGTACTCCCTCTCAGCCCTCTTGTTGATACTTCTTTATTTAAAGTACTGCACGGTATTTTTCAAACTTTATTATAGTTTCATTAAATTTATTTAACCAATGACCTCTACTTATTTATCTCCTTATTTTTTTTAAAAAATAAAATTGATTCACAGTTGCTTTAAAGCAATAGAGAGACAACCTGAAGTCATGACTAATGTTAAATACATCAATTTTTTTTTTACTGCTTGGTTTCTTTCTTATTTCTTGTTGTAATTTGCATAGTTACCTATCGATTTGTGTGCATCTTTGGGAAAGCTACTTAATTTCTTTAAATCTCAAGCTACCAATCTGCAAACCAAATATAATAAACAATCTTGTATCAAGCTGATGATGCTTAATTGTGTTTGCACAACATTCAGAGTTTCTCAGATGAAAACATAGTGTGCTGTTATTACAGTTACTCTAAACTTTGCAAGCAAAATCCAGTCTTCTTATTCAGGTCTACTGTGAATATGAACTATTTTCCTTAGTTCTGCTGCATGCATGCAAGATTGATCTAAATGATAGAAAAATCAGGTCCAGTACACTGAAAAATAAGATCACTTTAGTAGCCTGAAATATAATATTATTGTAACAGTAATGGTTAAGACATTTGATAGGTGTAGAGAAGATCAAGCTTTCTGTTTCAAATGACTAATCAGAGAAACTCCTCAGAAACTCCAGAGTCGAGCAGCAGTTGCATCCAATTACTTCATTTCTTTTTCTTTCTTTTTCTTTCTTTTTCTTTCTTTTTCTTTCTATCCTTCCTTCCTTCCTTCCTTCCTTCCTTCCTTCCTTCCTTCCTTCCTTCCTTCCTTCTTTCCTTCCTTCCTTCCTTCCTTCCTTCCTTCCTTTGTCTCCCCCCCCCCTTCTTTTTTAAAAAAAAAAAAAAAAAGAAATTAGGAACAGCAGCTTCTGGTTCAAACTGAAAACATGTCTCAGTGTGCTTGGAAGTAATCCAAATAGCATCTGCCACAATATTTTGTCTACCCCTAAACATTTTTCTTTTCATGATAAATTTGTATGGTATGATACAATTAAATGCACTTCCCATGGAACACTGAGGAAGTCTGCCTGTCTCTTTGGATGACTTTTTCAGACTATTTCACACCATCATGTCTGCTTGGCATACTATCATATAAGGAATATACAACATTTCACCTATATTTTTTGGTATGTTTATGCAAATAAATAGTTGATTAAAATAGATTTCAAAAATGAAATTTTAACATATGTATTGAAACCGTAGAGGAGTGCTGCTTAGCCATCTTTATACTTCCTTTATGATATTTTATCTTTATAATATTTTACCCTTCAACTTTATATAATATTCATGTAATGTTTTACATGTTACACTTGCTCATTCAGAGGGCACAAAAGACAATTTTCTTAAATAACAATATTAATCTTTTATGAAGTGGGACCTAAAGCCTTTCAGTCAAAACTAATTGATTCGTCAAATCTATAAATACAGCAAGGGTCACACTTTATATTATTAATTTTATTTTCTACCTATGTCAATAGTGACTACTGAAATTAATCTAAATAATGAATCATTATGATTTCAGTCACTTAAAATTGACTCCTGCCTGGGTAGGAAAGATGAGCACTTTTTTTTTTTACAAAAGGGGTAATGGCCTGAGCCGCTGGTGAGTTGTGGTGTCACGCGTTGCCTGCGGCTGCTGCTGGAGCCAGTGGTGGCCACCTCCGCCGGGCGCTTCGTCCCAGCACTGGCAGGTCCCTGTCCCCCGCTGGCATGACGACCCGGCACAGGGCATCTGGCGGCCGGTGAGCAGGGCCGGCCCGGGCGATGTAACGCCGTTTGTAATGAGAAATCTAAACAGGGAATGGCAGCGAGGCATGACAGGAATGTGTTTCCATTGGAGAAACCCGTGCAGAGAAAAAGCATAAGCAAAGCCATGTCCAGAAGGCCGTTCAGCTGGCCAGGACGGAAGACTGATGTTATTGTACACGGGCTGTCACGCTGCCAGCCCTCCCTCACGGGTTTGTTTTCTCTCATGCTCTCCCTCTCCCTCTCTCCCCTGCCTTCCTCCCGGGGCCGGCTGTTTGCTCAGGTGGACAGTGACACCGTTTGGAACGAGCTGCATTCGGCCGGGGCGGCACGCATGGCGGTGGGCTGTGTCATCGAGCTGGCGGCCCGCGTGGCCTCCCGGGAGCTGAAGGTGAGGTCTGGGCCGCACCGTGGGTGGGAGAGCCGGGGGGGTGGAGGGGGGGCGGAAGGGAGGCGGTGTGCAACCACTGGGCCTGGGAGGGTGGTGGGAGGAGGGCTGGGAGGACGGCCACGAAGGTGTGGCAGCCCAGGCGGCCCTTCCAGGCCTCACAGGGACATCCTTGTCCCCCGTATGATGGAGCAGCAGTGGATACTTATAGCGTGGGGTGCTGCAGCCCGAGGTGAAGTCACTCATCGTGTACACGTCTCTGGCAAGTGGCTATGGCACTGCCTTTTGAAGCAATTAAAAAAGAAAAAAAAAGAATAATATGCTTGTTTAGTCATGTACATAACCTCAGGATACCACCCAGAGAGGGAGGAGGCAAAGACCGGGCGTGCAGGCTGGGGGGAAGAGAGAGGTGGCTGGTGAGGAGGGTGATGACCGAGGAGATGCCTTTCCGCCAGGCTGGCCGACCCACGTTCTTCTCCCTGCCCCCCTTTCGTTTCCTATCTCCATCCTGCACGATCTGTAAGGCATGATGTACAAAACCCTTATTATCCCCAGTCTAAACAATTTATAAAAGCTCCAGACCTGACGGACTTTGACATTTTATTTGGTATTTTAACAGCCCTATTTAAAGGTATAGCATATGCAGCCAGAGTGCAGGCTTGCCCCAATAAACATTGTTGAAGCTAACATGTCTCTTTAATGAAACTGTTTATTCACTTTCCAATCCAAATACTAATGGATTCAGTCCTGTTTCCAAAATCAAGATAGAAATAAATATTTTAGAATTGACATTGTACAAAGTTTTTTAAATTCCAAAATGTATTTGAACTTGAGAATTTTCTTCCTGTATATCTGTCTTATTTCAGTCCAACTAGGTTAACTGCATATTTGTGTAGGGATACGTAAGTTTATGTGTATACATACATAGATATAGAATGTATACTAAACTTTCGTATTCAGACATCAAAATCATTAGCCAGGTACCACACAAATTCTAAAAATTTTTAAATCTCAGATCAAGGACAGGGTGTATCATATGGGATCCTGTGCTGCATTCTTTCCAATGGGTACTTCATCCCCATTAAGATTTTTGAGCACAGTAGGATTCAATATACAATTCACTGTTCGTTATTCCCACCCAGCTGGACTAATGAAGTGAAGAAGGATTTTTTAGCTAGTTTTTACCTTTGGCAGATGTAGGATATGCATCAGTCTCTAAGGCAATATAAAAGCAAGTTTAGATAAGAATGTTGAGATATATCCTATGTGTAGTTGGCATGAGCAGGATCTGCTGCAGAATCTTTTCTGATTACCTCTGTACATTTGTGGTGTCTTTCTGCAGTGTGAGTGCTCTTGGTTGTTTATGTGTGTGCAATGGACAGCTGAAAAGAACTAAACACCAGCCACTGTCAGACCTGCGTTGTTACTGGAGTTGCAACAGTCAAATATCTTAAATTTAGTACTAATTTGTAGTTTGCTGTAAAAATATTGTTGATCATAAACAGAATCTTTGTCTACAGTGCAGAGAGTTGAATCAGTCTTATGCAACCTCCAGTTGAGACATAGGGAAGATAATTGTTCAAGAGAAATGCCAAGTAGTTGGTTTATACCAAATCATCAAGAAAATAGGAATGGAAAGGATTTACTGTGAAAGAGAATCAAGAATACTCAGGCTATTCTTGATAGTTATTTATCTAACCTGCTTCTATACTTTCAGCATGAAGCCCAATGACTTACATGCCACCATGCCAACTGTATGAACTAATGATCTGCGTGTGGTATTTATAATTTAAGGTTATGGTAAGGTCATTAAGACCCGATTGAAAGAAGACAAGCATATTAGCAGAAGTTCTGGAGATACACCAATCCTGGCATTAGCTATTTTGGCAGAGTCCTCCTATGTTTGCTTTTGTCACTGCTTCCATACAAACCTAGGTTTGTCTGGCAAGTTGCTCCCAATACCCTCATATGGTAAATGACATTAAGGGGATTTTTGCAATCTATTCTGGGGTTTTCTACGTGATGTTCAGGATGAGGTTTTAGGTAGCTGTACAATTTTAGCCCCACAGATCTGTATGTTCCAATCTACCTTTATGACTTCACATGTTGCTCTTCCATCTTGCTGCCATTTTTTCCTTGAGAAACATGTGTTGCATTGATCTATTATAGGGAAAATGCCAATTCTGTAGTGTACTTATGAAGATCTGAGGGGAAGTGAATGAAGCTGACCACTTCCATGTGCATTCATTGAGTAAACATGCATGTGAAGCAACCATTTGGGGCCTGTACTGTGATCACTGAGTGGGAGGATTAAGCTCTGATGGGAATCTGGAATGATCTGCCACAGTTTCAGAATCTTTGGATGACAAAAAAAATGCCTTCCAAGAATTGTGTGTAAGCTATAACAGCTCTTCAAGATGTAAACAGAAAGATGAGAGAAGTAGAGAAACAAGCTGTTGTTTTTCACTGGAAATTTACCACTGTGGATTGATATCAGATGGTATGCTGTCAGTTTGGTGTCACTTTATGGAAAAAAAGTATATTATGAGACAGGACGTACTGATTTGTTTTGAAATCTCACAGTTCTCTGAGAAGAGCTGCGGGTCCTGAAGTTCACTGTGACAGACTTACGGTACACAACAAGGACTTCCCACAGGGCAGTGCTCCAGATTGCACCAGAGGAGGCAGTGGATTATCTACCCACTGCACTGGAGAATCACAGATGCTTTTTTCTGAAACAGCCACAGCAACATTAGAATAACCTCAGAGTAAAACTGTTTTGCATAGACAAAGTCTGAGACAAGAAGCCTCAGGAATGAGAAACTGAAGTCATTCATTTAACAAGTGCTTTTCTGACGAGAAATATCAAATTTGTTGGTGTAGCTGGGTATGAGCAGCCCAAATATTTCTTACAGCTTGATGAATCAATATATATGTTTTTAAAAAGTCTCACATGGTTTTCCTAAAATTAAAATGAATATAACAATTTATTTTATGGACATGTATTTAATTAATTTAAAAACCAAAGTATTTACAGTACTGAAGATAAATATCTTCACTGCCTAACTAGAATATAGAAACTAACAAACATAAACTGCCCTGTATTGACTGGCATCTGACATTTATAGTCCTTTTCAGGAAGGACAAGACATTTCAATTTCTATTCTTATTCCATGGTCTCTGCTGATATTGCTTGCTGCTGCACAGAGTGATAGTAATAGGTTTGAACTATAGGTATGTGCTGCTAAAAAAAAGAGTTGAGACTGCAGAATAAATTAAGAATGTCTGCAGAAAAAATTGGGAGATTCACTACAGAGCTGGGCATGGGTCAAACTTGTATGCAAGGCAAGAAGTTCTTTATTCTGAATTTCCTGAGACTATCAGTCTGTTTTCACACAGGTCTCATCCAAGAACAGCAACATTTAGTTCATCTCATTTGAACAGTGTTCAAAAACTGACCAGGAGTTAAGAGTTCTCTTCACTGTAGTTCAAATCCCTTGTGAGACATCAGGTTTCTTTTATCTCCTTGACTAATGGGGAAAGCATCAATATGACAGTGCTAAGGAAGTAAAGCAACAGGGTTTACTGAGATTCTACTGTTGCCATAATAGTAAATTACAATGGTGGTGGTTTGGGTTTTTTTTAAATCAAGACAAATGTATGTCCTCTGGGGAATCTTAATCTCGATGGAATTTATTTGATTATACCAAATAAACAAAATTAAGGATTTTGAGGTGTTGTGTACTAATATAATGAGCATTCAGATACATTTGATACACTTTTGAGATAATACTTAATAGAGAATAAAGAATCACACCACTGAAATATATAGTATGATACATGTGATATTATACCGAGTTGAACACAATGCTTTTCATTTTTTCATGACTTTATTTATATATATAATGAATGTCATCTCAGCAATACTACAGTAGGAGATGAGCCTAAAGATTGCATGAAGGTCATGCTTTCTTGAGTATTTTATGATTTAGGAAACCTGCTGATGCATGATGAGGTATTTATGTTATATAGAATCAGTGCCACAGCTCTCCTGTCTAGCTGTTTTTCTGTATCTACCTTTACTCCTTTCTCATTTCCCCAACAGATTTATGTAGGTAGCTTTTAATAGTCTGTTGGCTGACCACAGATCTTTAAAAGACTGGAGTATGTGGAACTGGGTGAATATAATTCTACTGTAGTCATTAGCTATACCGAATAAATAATTTTAACAGATAAGTCTTATGATATATTCTTTGGGGCTTGGAGAAGAAATACAGATAGTGCCCTGCATATGATTTCTTGCGTGCAGTATAAGTCATGAACTTGTAAATCATTGTCTCTAGCCTCTAACTAATGATTGTACCTTTAGAAAGAGGACCTCCAAAGATCTTCATCTGCAGAGAGAGCATTTCTTTCCTGGAAGTGTCTCCTAAGGGTCTCCTTCCTCTCTTGCCCCAGGAAAATAGAGCTGTGCTAGAAGTATACTGCAAAAGGAAACATTGCATGTGGAGGCTCAGGCTCTGTCACACTTCCTGTAGACCTGAAGGCAGCTCTGCAACTTACAGTGTCTGCTCTGTCACTGCTCTGCTATAACAAGGCAGATTTCAAGAGTGCATGGTCTAAAGACTTGGTAGCATTGACAGATGCTGTCCTGCCTTGCCTTCCCATTTATTTCCCAGCCAAGCCTGGCTAATTCCCTTGCATCAACTCTGATGCTCTGCTCAGTTCACATCCCCTCCCTGCCAGCGTCCTATTTCACTCACGGGCAGCTAGGCACAGAGACTCTCCCCTTGCCTGCACCCAGCTATCCTGCACAGCAGGTGCTTCCCTCCTGTTGCAGAACTGGATGAGTACAGAGGTCATCCCAACCCCACATTAAACAAGTCTTAGAGGAAAATAAAGGAGGGATTTTGCATCTGTGGTCTCTCTTGAATTTCATATTTCATTTATAACTCTTAGAGCTTGCAGAGAATCTCACCTTTAGAGCTTAGCTTGCCAAATTA